ATATATAAAACAAAAAAAGTGCAATTTATAAACTTGTAAACCAAGTTATTATAAATCCCGATATGAGGCTATTAAATCATGTGAATATGAAACTCTACATCGAATTTAAAAAATGTGAAAAAACAAATAATGATGCATAATTTTTGGATCACGATGCATAACTTTTAAATCGCGCGATATTACAACCGCAAAAAAGAAACATGACTTTGGATTTTAAGCTCGCGTGAATACGAATTGCTACATAGCTTAAAAGCTTGTAAATACAAATCGCGATATTAGATTTTTAAATCTCATAAATAAGAATCGCAATGTACGATATTTAAATAGCGTAAATAAGAATCGTAATGCGCAACTTTTAAATCAGGTAAATACGAAAATCGATGATTGATATTAAAATCGTGTGAATAAGAATCAAAATATTTTCAGAGTCTGGACTTGGGATTTCTAAAAGGCTGAAACCTGAGAAAATAACTAATATAAGTAAAAATGCGGAAGGATTAGCAGCTAGAACGTAGTTCGAATTTTCTGTTTATCTTTGAAAATCGTAAATAAATATAATTATCTTACTTCAGCGACAGAATTTTTTTTTTAAAAAAAAGCGGGATATTTATTTTTAAAAAAAAACTAAACTTTTAGAGAATCAGAGGATTTGATAAAAAGGTTGAAATTCGAGAGACAAAAGCGAAAAAAATCTCATCCCTGTGTAAAGGTCAACCAGTTATATCCCAAAGAAATGATTTTTAGAGAAACTTCAGAGGGAGGAATGAGGACTTAAATAATTTCGCTCTGCGGAAAATTAAAATCCTCATAAAATATTTCAACTTGTGCAAAAAATTTTTTAGCAGAAATTAGCGGAAAAATCTGAAAAAAAGCGGAAATCGGCGAATCCGCGGAAGAATCTCATCCCTGGTTAATAAATCTAATGTAACTATGTTTTATTTATAGATCAAAAATAAGAAAATGTGTTATTTATTGAAGGGGTAAATCATGTGTTATTTTCTGAATATAAATTCATGTATCTAGTTTCAAAAGTTTAATTTAAAATTTTTAAATCATGTAATTATTAAATCATGTAAAATTTCTCATTCCATCAAAATTATATTATTGATAATCACCACAATTTCCCATTAGAAAATATATATTTTGTCTGAATTTTTTTGTGTGTTTGCCATTTTGCTATAAAAATTGCGACTAATAAAAAAATTTATAACAGTACATATTTTTACTTTCAGAAGAAAATAATATTTACTATTTATTGAAATAAAAAAATTGTATATCGCTAATAACCTGGAACTTGTAAAAATCGTAGAATCACTTTATTCCAAATAACGCTTCATATAACTTTTCCTCTGAATTCCTGTTCTTAATGTATGGGCAAATGTATATTTTGTAAACTCTATTTAAATAAAATTTGAGAGTAAAACAGAAAATTTCACAGTTAATGTTTTTAAATTTTTTAACAAATAACTCAAATATAATGTATTAAAAGCTTTTGAAAATTTTCCGATTTGTCGATTACTATATTTTAATGAAAGAAATACAGAATCATTTATTCAGGGGGAGGAGGGTTGATTATGAGACTGAAAAGCTGCCTAGTTCACTATCGAAGCTCGGTGTGGGGTAAATAATAATAATAAAGTATAATGTGTTTCTATTTTTATAAAACCAAAATTCAATGCATGCACATAATATTAATTCTTATCTTTCATTCCTGAACTTTTAGAATCGAAAGAAAGATCAAAGACGTATAGAGTTTTCCAAAATAAAATTCGCAAAACATTAAGAAAAAACTACAAGTGAAGAAAATTACTTATTCTACCATTAAGAAGAGGCTAAATTTTGTCTACTTTCTTTCGAAGGAACTGTCATTCCTTGAACCAATTAATGACCAGTTCTTTTTGAGGGGACTAAGGGCTTGCTTTTTTTCCACTTCGCATAATTAGGTAAATAGACGCCTTCATTGCAGGTGGCAGCACAAAGCTGTCTCAAATCTAATAACTAGCCAGCAACTAAAAAAACAACTGCCATCTTTTAATTTAAAACCTCATCCAAAAAATAGGTTATTGCCTATATTAAAAAGATGTGTTTTTTCACTCAAAAAAATTTTACGTACTTTCAAGCATATACATTTATTTAAACAAATCATAATTACAGAATATACACATACAGTCAAACCCGGCTAGATTGAACCTTCAAGGAACCGAAATTTCAGTTTACTATATCCGTACTGCAAACAATTTTAACTAATTTTTCCACACTGCTCAATTTTTTATACACATTATTTAAATAAATTAAATAGAAAGAAATTAAAAAAATGATTAAAAAACAATATGTAGAAAAAAAATGTGTTAACTTTTATTTATTATTAATCTTTGTCGTGCATACAAAAATATCAGTGATGGCCTTTAATTAGGGATAGGAAACTGAGATAGAAGCAAACAAGAAAAAATGCTTATGGTTACATTCCACTCAATAGATGGTTTTAAAAATAGGTATATGTATTTTATGTAGAAAGTTCCAAAAAATGAAGAAAAAAATCAGTTGAAGACACAAAAAAGTTCATAATATTAAATTTCCTCTCTTCTTTTGGTTAACAAAATCAAAACAAAATATTATTTTATATTTATAGTAAGCCATGGGAGTGAACCTCAAAATTCACTCAATCCGGTACTTCACTATAAACCATGTTCAACTCATGCAAACTCTGTGTGTATATATATACATTATGGTAAATATATCCTATATATTATGGTTAAATTATTTGAACTTATTCTAAAAAATTTCAAAATTATTTCACTCGCCTTTAAAAAAAAACAATATCTGGCATATTCAGGGATGAGAGTAGTCAGAAAGTAAAAAAGAGGAAATCCAATATATATATATATATATATATATATATACTGTAAAGGTGACAAAAAGAATAGTAGCATACGAGCACTTATGATCATTTCAGGAATAGAAAAAATAATAAACCTTCTTAAATCCATAAAAAATATT